TAAGAAGGTTTTCCTGAAGAAAGTGACAAAATGGTTCTAAAGCTGTTACAGAATTGCAAAACAGGATAACCAGTCTTGAAAAAGAACGGTGTTGGAAGGACTTACCTATCTGATTTCAAAACTCGCTCTAAAGCTGTGGTGATCGACACAATGTGATAGTGGCATCGAGGGAGACCTGCAGGGAAAAGCAAAACAACAAAAACAAAGTAACCTGAAAAAAAAAAAAAAAAAAAAAAAAAAAAAAAAGAATCCAGAAATAGACCCACCATGTTACCAAGTCCACTGAATAGGGAAAGAAAAGGTTTTTTGACCAATGGCCCTGGAACGACTGAAGATTTATATGGGTATGAGTAACCTCAATCCCTTTCTCGGACAATACATGAAATTCAGCTCTAGGTGGATCATAGACATGAACGTCCATAATGAAACTTGTAGAACACAGCTTCCAGGGGCGCCTGAGTGGCTCAGTTGATTAGGCATCCGACTTTGGGTCAAGTCACAGTTAGTGAGTTCGAGCCCCACATTGGGCTCTGTGCTGACAGTGCAGAGCCTGGAGCCTGTTCCGAATTCTGTCTCTCTCTGCCCCTCCCCCACTCAGGCTCTCTCAAAAATGAATAAATGTGGGGCGCCTGGGTGGTGCAGTCGGTTAAGCATCCGACTTCAGCCAGGTCACGATCTCACGGTCCGTGAGTTCGAGCCCCGCGTCAGGCTCTGGGCTGATGGCCCGGAGCCTGGAGCCTGTTTCCGATTCTGTGTCTCCCTCTCTCTCTCTGCCCCTCCCCCGTTCATGCTCTGTCTCTCTCTGTCCCAAAAATAAATAAACGTTGAAAAAAAAAACTAAAAAAAAAGAAAAATGAATAAATGTTTAAAAATTAGAATAACGCTTCAAGGAGATACAAAAAGACTATGATGTGGGATATAGAAAGATTTGTTGGGGCACAAAACACTAAGCATAAAAGGAAATTTACTGGACTTTATCAAAGTTAAAATTAATTTTAATATATTAAAGAAAATTAATAGAAGAAATACAGACTGGGAAAGTGTATTTGTAATAACATATCTGACAAAGGACTTGTGTTTATATATTTTAAAAACTGCAACAACAAAAAGGAAACCTATTAAGCAGCAAAAGGCTCAAATGAGCACTTCACAGAAGGAGCTGTACAAAGGACCAATGAGTGCATAGAACATGGTCAGCATCTGTAGTCATCAGGAAAGTGCGGATAACAACCCCGTGGTGTGCTTGTGTAGACAGCACATGCTCTAAAATCAGGACAATACCAAACCGGTGAGCACAGCCCCTGCGGGGTGACCTGTGGATCTGGGAAGCATTCCATACTCTGTGTAATTCCTGAAGTCCTTCCTACCTCGAAGAAAAAGGAAACGAGTCAAAGCATAACATGCCGTATTCAATTGAAATTGTGATTTTTCACTACGAAAAAAAAAAAAAAATTGGTGATTCCATTTCTCACCTCCCAGAATAATTAAAATCCAAAAGGCTGACAGCACTAAATGTTGGTAAAGCTGCGAACCAACTAGAATCCTTATTCATTGCTGGTTGGAGACACATCGAGCGATTTTTATAAGTGCATTTCAGCCCCGTGAGCCAGCATGTCTCCGTGCACGCCCAAAAGATACTAAAACACGTCTACAAACATATTTGTACAAATACATTTGTACAAGCTTTTTCATGACAGCCCGGAACTGGAAATAACCCAAATGTTCAACGGTAGCAGGATACAAGAATGTGTGATAGAGGACATACTCACATGATACGTCGCCCAGAACTTGGAGGAGTGAGCTGCTGGTGCAATGGAGGATTCCAGAATCCTCATGTTCAGTGAAAGAAGCAAGACTCAGTGCACACTGTATTACTTTGTATGAAGTCCAATGACAGGTTAAACTAGTCTCTGGTGTTAGAAATCTCAAAGCTGCAGCCTCTCAGGGTATGGAGTGAGGGAATTTGTATACACTGCCTGGGGTGGTAGTTACAGGGGTGTATACAGTTGTCAGAATTCACGTAACCAAATATGAAAAACCTGTGTATTTTGTTCTGTGTAAATTATACCTCAATTAAAATGTTGAAGAAATCATTGTTAATACACAGATTTGCTTGGAGGGCCAGACATCCTGGCTGGGGTCCTGCAGGCAGGAACCCTACTCCAAATGCAGCTGGCAGAGTGGCCAGTGATGAGCCCCTGTGCTGTGCTCAGATGCCCCTGCATGCTCCCCGGAACCCACGCCGGGAACCTGCCTTCCATGACCTCCGTTTATGGAAAACTTCCTCCAACACGCAGCACAGTAGATATGCCCAACATCAGTGCTTTGGAATTGTGACTGTTCCACACATTTCCAGTGAGCAATTTATTCCTTAGGCTTTAAGGAATTTATTACTTTCAGCTTTAAGGGGCTGTGTGCTAATATTAGATTGTGCTAACTGTGGTGTGTGAGTTGCTTATCAGTTAAGCGCTGCCTGGCTGAAGCATTCAAAGTAAGTTCCTTGTTCGGGTTTTGTTCAGGGTGTGAGTCTGTATATCTTTAGCTGACATTGAGTTAGAACTCATTTGTTCAATTAGTGCTTAATGCCTGACTGATAACTGTACCTCTAGAAAAAATGATTTTTAGTATGAATATGTCTGTACGTGACATGTCTATTGTACAGTGGAACCTTAGAGTGAGTCCTTTTTCCTGATTAATATAACTTAAGATTTAAACATGCTTTGTTTTCATTTCTGAATAAGCTCGATTGGAATGGGTGCATTTTCTTTCCTGCTGGTGCTTTCTGCTTGATGATCTCTAAATTCTTGAGGGCACTTTTACCCATTTGGGATCTCCTTAAAGCTCCAGCTTGCATCCTTTGGCAAAGTGAAATTAATTTTGTGACAGTGAGGAAACTTTGCTAGATGTACAGTCCCTCATACGTATCTTGAAATCTCGAATTTGTGTACCTTAGGGCTTTTGAAGTTTGGAAACACCTATATACTAACCCTTTACCTATCCCTTCCCATAGCCCTCGTTGATGTAGTACACCGCTTTTGCTCCTGGTGCTGAGTTGTTCCCTCTGTGCTTATACAAGTTGGAAAATTCATTCCTAGTCATACGTATTGTTCTCCGAAATACTGCCTTGAGCCATCGCAACAAAATCTGTGAATTAAAATAATTTAGAGGGAATATGGGCTTATTTTGCTCCAGTTAGACTCTTAAATACGGAGAACAAACTTGGGGTTGATGGGGGGGGTGAGGGATGGGCTAACTCGGTGATGGGCATGAAGGAGGGCACTTGCTGGGATGAGCACTGGGTGTCATATGTAAGAGGTGAATCACTGGGTTCTTCTCCTGAAGCCAAGACTGCACTGTATGTTCACTAACTTGAGAATAAAAAAAAATATGTTTGCGATTCAAGGAATCATGAAGGGATTTATTTAAAACATTGCATTCGGCTGGAATAGATCCCAAGTCCTGGGTTCCTTTGAAGCGCACATGCCTTTACCTGGTTCTTTCTTCGTGTCCTACGTCAGCTCCCTGTCAAGAAGGCAGCAGCCGTAGATACCGGTGGGAGGCAGTGACAGGAGCAGGGAGCCCTTGTTTTAAACCTGGAACCGTTGCTGTTTTTCTAGGCTCGCCCCGCCTCCGTGTTGAGCGGTGATAGCTTTCCAGTCTGGCTTTGTGTGCCACTGCCCACAGCCCAGGAAACCCAGCTGATGACTACTTTTTATCGCTGCTGTCATGGAGTCCGGCCAGAAGTGGTGGTTGCGGGGTGGGGGTTGGCGCCAGTGGCTGTACGTCAGTGCAGTGCTCGTGGGATGGTGTCCACTCTGTGCTTCTGGGCACATCGGATCAGACCCCTCGGTCACCTGGGGAAACACGTGGCACTACGGGAGCTGACTCCAGGCGCTTTCTGGAGTGTTTCTGTCATGCCAGTGTAGCTCATTTAAAAGGGGTAGAGGCAGGCACCAAAATCATGGAAGATGAGAGACAAATGGAAGGCAGTGTCTTTGAGGGGTTGCCCCAGGGTCCTGGGAAAACCCTCATCAGACAGCTGACCTGGACCCTGTGCAAGCCTGGTGCTTGGTTCCTTCATGCTTCAAGCGTACTTTGGCCTCTTGCATCCTGCCTTGTGGATGAGCAGGGCTAGGCACCCTGATTTTAGATGTAAACGTGTCCAGGCTCTCCTTCGTGATTGTCTTAGGAGACTTAGGGCTGCAGTGGACCTTGAACAACGTGGGGGCTTAGGGGTGCAGACCCCCGCACAGTGGAAAATTCACAGAACTTCGGACTCCCCCCAAATTTACTAATAGCCTGCTGTTGACCAGAAGCCTTGGTGATACCATAGACAGCCAATTAACACCTATTTTGTGTGTTATGGGTATTATATACCGTATTCTTGCAGTAAAGCAAGCTAGAGAAGCAAAAGCGTTACTAAGAAAATCATGAGGGGAAAGGAAATACATTAGCAGCACTGCCCTGTATTTCTCTGAAGCAGCCCGCATGGAAGCTACCCTGCTTAGTTTAGACCCGTGCTGTTCAAGGGGCAACTGTGTTTCAGTGAGGGAACGTTCAACAGATTGGGCCAGTAAGATTCATATTTCCAATTGCCTCAGAAAAGAAAAGAAGCTTAGAGCACCATAAAATTAAACTGTCTGGTAATACCATCGACCTCATGTATGAAAGAAACTACTCGGGTCTGTGTGTCCATGATCAGTCATTCTGTGGCTCTCTTCCGTTGCTCTGTGGGTATGTTGACATCTAAGATTTTTTTCTTTTTTTTTCTTTAGCCTTTAATGGTACAGTGATTGATTTTAACGATTTCCATATTTGACATTGTTTTTGATCTTCTTTTTACTTTGTTCCCTGCTTTTTGCGTTCTCCTCCCCACCCCCCCTTCCTCATCCCATTTTAATTGTTGGGTTGTTCTGTCTGCGTGTCTGTGTGTCGCTTCCCTGTGGTCCTGTTGGTGTGGCGTTCTCTCCTTTCTTCTTGTTCCCGCCCTGCTGCTGTAGCCCCACAGGCTGTGGAAGGCGGCCGAGCAGGTAGGGGACCTTCCTGTACGTCCACACCAGTGCCCCCCTCCCCGCCGTCTGGTCAGCTTCCAGCAGTGGGACAGACCAGAAGTGGAGTGCGGAGCCTGGCTGGGGTGTGCGGGCCGCGGGCGGAGGACTGGCACCCGGCATGACCTGCTCTCCCAGACCTCTTCGAACGTCGCGCACTCGCGACAGACACTTCCGTGTGCACAGTCAGTGGTTTCCCTGCCGGTTTGGGGGTTCTGTCCGTTTTGCTCCACTTCCTGTGTTTAGTGACCCGTTTCCTGACTTGTTTGCTTCTGAATCGGCCTTCGGTGGCACTGTGTTCTGCATTACTCAGAACGTCAGAGCCCTTCCCCACCCAGCGCTGGTCTGTGACACGGCTCCCCCGGGGAGTCCGAGGTCTGCATCACACGGGGTGGAAGCTCCTGCCGAGGCCGGCTGCGTGTGCTGCTCCCCATGTCCGCGGGGGGAGACCGTGACCAGGAGGGGTAGGAGCAGCACGTTTTAACGGAGGTGTCTTTACCTTAGTGTTGTGCGGCACATGGTTAAGATTTGCCGCTGGGGAATTTTAGCATACTTCTTCAAATAAGTTGTGAGGGCTGTGGCACTTTTTGGAAACGTGTTTCGGGCCCCATCTTTTTCTACCCAAGGTACCACATTGCCTTCCCAAGAAAACAGAGGTAGAATTTGGGTTTGTAATATAGCTTTGATTACGTAGCTCTTACATAGAAATCGCTGGTGAGAAGTCAACCCAGCATGTTGTGGAGGGATTCACGGTGCCGAGAGAAGATCTGTGGACCCCCCTGTGTTAGATAGCTCAGTTCACAGGGTGCTCCCGGGCTCACTGGGCTGTTGACACACACACACGGCCTCCCTGACCTGTGTCCCAGACAAAGATGACCTCCCTCTGCTGGAGGAGAGCCAAGGCACAAGCAGGGTTTCCTTCTCGAGCTGTGAGTTCATGTCATGTGTTCTGCTTCAACATCCTGACCTCTAAAAATGCATCTTTTGGGGTGCCTGTGGTAGGAACTTCTCAGCAAACGAGGCTTCCTATCCCTGACAGCCTGCTAGCCAGACGTCTGGGCAGTTCCAGCCCTTTTCCGTTGGGCAAGACGTGTGGCACGTGTCTTTTCCTTCTTATTTTTGTAAATGTGACTGATAGTTCAGCTGTGTGAAAGTCCAGCATAATCCTAGTAAGATGTTCCTTTCAGAAGTGAGGTTATCAGACTGGAAGTTAGCAGGCATCTTGGAGGGAATTGTGCATTTAGTGCTTTTAGTTTGAGATTTTAGCAAAGAAATGCTTGCTAACTGGTAGGAAGCACAGCCCCAGTTCCTCCCGCACAAACTTGAGCTAACCGCACTGTCTCCTTGCTTGCAGGGGACCTCGGGACCTGACCCAACCACCGTGTACGTTGACATGCGAGCTCTGAGGCACGACAGGTACGATGTGCTTCCGGGTTTGTGTCTTGATGGCCCCGCGTGCAGGGCTGTCAAGGGGGGAAGGAGCTCGGTGTCCGTCCTATCTGAGCATGGTGGCCCCGGGCCAAGCAGGAGAGCTGGGCCAGCCTGAGCCGCGGCATCCCTCCACTTGTGCTCTGTTCCCGGGGGGCAGGCGACTCTGTGCCTGGACCCTGAGGTCTGCGGCGGGGGTGGGGGCGGGGGGGGGCGGTGACCACACATGCTGCTCTTCCTTCACCATTCTGGCTGGGGACAGAGTCACACCTTTTCAAGTCCCCAGTGCTCCGCCCACGTTTCTTTACCTGAATTGTAATTTTTTGTGAAGACGTTTCTGTGGAAAATTAAAACAGGACTGAAGTTACCTTCTGTGCAGCTTCCCAAGCAGCCTTGAGCAGAAATGAAAGGGGGTCCTTTGTAAGTTTGCCTCAGACGGGGAGGGGGCAGTGGGAGGCGTGGAAGCAAGGTGAGGACCTTCCCGGGAATTTCCTCCCCAGCCAGGAGGAGGATGCGCTGTCTTTCCTACAGACTCCCCCTCAGATAGACTGTTTCTTTTTGGTAACAAGGGACATGCCCGGTCATTGTTGCACTGGGACCAGTGAGTGTAGACCTCATACGGGTGTGACCCATAAATGACCAGTGGGGGCCGATGGATGTGTGGTGATGGCCAGAGGCTGCGTGTCTCCTTCCCTTGCCTACGAATGTGTGTCCTCGTGCTGTACAACAGTGGGAAGAATGGAGTTCATGGTCACAGCTGGTGGCCTGGGCGTGCTCCTGGAGGAACACAGAGTCGTCGTGTGGGTGTGTTGGGAGCGGGCTTGTGGAGACTGAGGGGCCACCCGTGCACGCGCCAGCCAGCCTGGAGAGGACCACCCCGACTCTCATGGGCATTCCCAACAGGGCTTGTGCCCCGTGGATGTTGGGCTGTGCCTGCTGAGCACAGTTTGGGGAGTAGGGTGGCCGGCATCCAGGAGATGGGGGCTGGGGACACAGACGAAACTCTCCTGTTGGGCACAGTCAGCCCCCCACGTGCGATCGCAATGGGCTGATGTTGGGAGGCACCACCTGTGTTCAGCCAGCCACGTCCCACCTGGCGCCCGGGGCCCTCTTTTCAGACCCTTCTGTTCAAGGGGCACCAAGGTTAGAGCCCTCTGGCGGAGGCCCCTCCCGGAGGCCGAGGGCAGAGACTAGCACGTGCCCACTGCCCCTCGCCGGCTACCCCGCCACGAAGTCTCATCTGGAGCATCTTCATGGTTCAGAAACTTGGCTTTGAGGCGTTCACGTAACTTGCTCCAGGGGCACATACACATTTTCACGTAGTAACTTCTGGGCTTTAGGACAAATCGACTATCCCCCCTAGAAAAGTAACCTGGAAATAATATTGTGATATTATGCCTCTTATACCTTCTTGGACGGGGGCTTGTCCAAGAATCCCTGTTTGAGTAACGTGCCGTTTTGCGTGTGGCCTGGAGCTCGAAACACACGGGGAGCAAACACCTGGGTCAAACCACAGCCCTTTCCCCCAGGAGGGTGGCCTGCAGTCACGGACCATCAGAGCAGAGGCTGTCATCTTGTGTCCATGGGTCCCAGAGCATCAGGGGTGGTGGGACTCGGGGGCTGAGTTTTCTTTCCTGGAGAAGAGCAGAACGGTAGGCACTCCCTGCGGTGCCCGTGACCTTGCCTTCCGAGGTCCTCGGCATATCTTTTCGTGGAGGAAACGTGCCATGAGGCAACATGAGGTGGAATCAGGAGTGGGGGAGTGGCTGAGGGGGGTGGGGGGCACCTCGGATGCAGGAAGCGCTCCGTGGAGACTTACCGGTTCTCCGACCCTGGAGTCAGTCCGGCGGCCTCTTAAGGGACACTTCTGTCCTAACCTGTAATCTCGGGTGCTTTTCTCTGACGAGGTCATCTGAAAATGAAGGAAACGTCCTCGTGAACCTGCTGGCAGTCGTACGTTTCAGAGAGAACTGGGTGGTGCTGCTGATCACCGTGGCCCGTGGTCACGTGGATTCGTGTCGGGGCGCCCAGCTGGCTGCCGGGGTCAGGATGCACCGGAGGTGCCCGCGTGTGCCCTGCCCAGGCCGCTCCCAGGAGAGCCCAGGGCTGCACACTTGTCGCTCTGGTTTGGCCGCCCGCCCGCCGGTGACGCTGTCTCACGTCCTCGCCTCTCTCCCCTGCCATCCAAAGACACAGGTGGCCCAGAGCTGAGGGAGGTCTTCAGACCCCAAAAGTTTTGTGCTGGACTTAGCTCCCCTGCCCCTCTTTCCACGTTTGACTTCCGGAAACCAAAGCCAAGCGGCCCTGGAACCTGACGGAGCCACTCCTGCAGCGAGGCCTGTCCCCGGAGCCTCCCTGCGGGCGCTTTCTCGGGATCCTTCGCTGCCTCTTCCCGAGGGCCGACTTCCCACGACCTGTGACCTGTAATCGACCTTCCAGCCAGGCTGTGGGCCGGTCAGGGTGCCGCCCGGGCCCTGCTTCTCTGAAGCAGAAAACCTCCGTGGCACCTCCCCCTCACCTGTCATGTTCCTGCCTCCCGGGCCGATTCTCCTCCTGTGCGGTGAGCCATGCCCCCGGGGCCTCCGGTCTCCCTGCCAACCCCCGACTTTCAAGTCCAGTCCAATTCAAACACCATCAACCCTGAATATTCCCTAGAGAAGCTGTCCTCCAGCGTGCAGTCTCTAGCCTCACTTCTGACCTTTGTCAACATGTAACACGTGTGCCCTGCGCTGCAGCTGATGGCGACGGAGAGGCTCTGCGGTCCGAGTGAACGGGGTTCACCTCTGGGCAGGTCCTGTGACCTCAGTGTCCCTGTGCTCAGAGTGGGTGTGGTAAAGCCAGCCTTCCCAGGGACCCGTGGGGCCACAGCACCAGGGTGACCGGGGGTCCCGGCGGGGTGCAGGTGAAACAGAGCTTTGAAAATATTGACTCTCTGTCTTGTCACCATTAGTGTAAAAAAAAAACCAAAATGGGGCTCTTGTCCTGACTTCCACTGTATGAAGATTCAGTTGTGGGATTAATTACTCTTCCTGCTGCTCTAGAACACTCACTGGGAGCCCCAGGGCACCTACGTAATTACGATCTAATTAACTTGGAGAGGGTTAGCCTGTCAACGTGTTAAGTGCAGTATCCCCAGAAAGAGACTGCATTCTCATATGCACACATGGAAAGACAGGTGACAAAGGACAGCCACATTGTGGAAACCTGTGATCAAATAGATTTCCCAAATTGATTTGATTTGTACTGGACTTTCTGTGTCTATTTTTTTATTTATTTTGATTTTTTTAATGTTTAGTTTTGAGAGAGAGAGCACAAGCAGGGGAAGGGCAGAGAGAGGGAGACAACAATCCGAAGCAGGCTCCAGGCTCTGAGCTGTCAGCACAGAGCCTGATGCGGGGCTCGAACTCATGAACCGTGAGATCATGACCTGAGCTGAAGTCGGACATTTAACCAGCTGAGCCCCCCAGGCGCTCCTCTGCCTCTGTTTTTAATTCCCATTGTTTTCTATGAACCACAGTGTGTTTGGGAGGTCACCATGGAGAACGTTTTTGCCTCAAGTGGCAAGGATAATCCTGCTCCTACTTCTGGAACAAATTCAGTTCCACTGTGCACAAGGGAAATGATGGCATGGCTTTGGGACTACTTAAAAATGAGTGTTTTTAAGATATTGTTTCTAATATGTTCATGTAAGATGAATTCATGGTCTCTCAGTCACCTCTAATTGGATCTTTCCTTAAGCACTTGGATTTTGCAGACTTGAGATAGGACGGGGGAAAAATCTTTTTCAGCACTGAAAGTAATAGTTTTAGGAGTTTCATCTTATGGATACGATGTTATCATAAAGCTTTCTTAGCTTTCTTACTCCTCCCAACCTGAAGTGCTAAGTCTCAGGAAAGCAAGGATAGTCCATTAATCCCTGGTCAGTGGTTAACCAAGGGTCAGGATCCCGTGGGAAGTAGGCACAGAACAGAAGTGCACAGGTGGGCTTGTGACTCAGTCTGTGGCAGGAGGGGGCTGGATGAAGACAGACCAGCTGGAATGAGACCCTTCTTTTGATTGGCTCCTGGTATGATTGGCGTGAGCTTCTTCGCATAACCTCACATTACACTTCTTACTAAATCTCTGATTTCTGTTCCCACGGCCCTCTATGGCTGTCCGGGAGGTGTGCCGGGCACCTGACTTGCCCAGACCCTTTGTGGACTGAACTAACCCCAGAGGTTCTGCCTGGAAGCAGATGACACAATAGTTTCCCTGCCGTTCGATTGGACGCAGGACCTGTTCCTCCTGGGTTCGTGGCCACCCCTTGTGGCAGGTGAGCCTGAGCACGTGTGTTCTTTGTGTTCTGTTCCCTGCGTGTCACACAGAAACAAGGGTACCTACATCGTAGAAGCATTGTGATGATCAGATAATTTCATCCGTGTAAACAACGTATCGTTCTTGCGGGAGTATAGATAGATAGATAGGACCTTGTATATGTAGTTACAGATTGGCTTTTTCACCTACTAGTATGTATCGTCCACCCTTATTTCTGCTTCTGGCTGTCTGCAGGCAGGCGCACGCTCTTTGAACTCATTGTTTAGCCAACTAAGTGGCTGCTTCATAATCGAAGATTTAATTGATCAGAGTTGTGGTGCGGGTTTTGTGCATTCCTGAAATACTTCTTACGGAGTATACTTGAAAATCAGACGACTTTACCTCTGGAGATAACTGGATAAAAAAAGAAGAGTTCACACTTTGCAAAGTGTCCCTTACATGGTAATTTCGGGGTGAATTTCCAGCCTACATCTACCCTGTAAGGCCAAAATCTTCTCTGGAGTTTGTGGCTTCCTTAAAAAGACATTATTCCTGGGGCGCCTGGGTGGCTCAGTCAGTTAAGTGGCCGACTTCAGCTCAGGTCACGATCTTGCCGTCCGTGAGTTCGAGCCCTGCGTCGGGCTCTCTGCTGACCGCTCAGAGCCTGGACCCTGTTTTGGATTCTGTGTCTCCCT